TTTTTATATAATAATATTATAATTTAAAAAATAAAAATAATATTTTTTATTTTTTATTTTCTTTAATATAATTCTTAATTTATAAATTTTTTCTCATATTTTTAGGAAGGAAAAAGTTTTACAATAACCTTTTTAATATAACATTCACTTGATAATTACAAAATTTATTAATTTTTTATACAATATTTTCTTAACCAGTTTACTTAGCAAAAACTTTATTAATAAATTGTCCTTTAACAAAAACAGGTCCTAAAAAAATTCCTTCTAGTTCGTTGATTTTTTTGCTACACTTTTTTGTTCTTATGTTAGTTAGGCATTTAGATGACACTTTTCCCCATTAAATCTGAGTTTATTTTCTATTTAATTGCTTAAATGGAAAATAAACTCAAAAACTAATGTTGATTTGGATAAAAAAAAAAAATACAACATGTAACACTTAACTGACAAAGAAAAAAAATTAGAAAAGTAAACTTAAAGGAGCAAAAAGGAACTCTATACAAAAGTTAAGGACAAAAGTGGGGGTTTACACTTTATACCTTATTTTAAAAAAATATGGGAGGTTTGATTTATTTTCCTTTTAAAAGAGTTCAAAATCCAATAGCATTTTCAGATGGTTTCTACACATATCTTAATATTTGTGTGCCCATATGGAAAATGTAAAATTTTTCTGTGGGCTCATCGGCTTTCTGTTTTCCCAAGTGAAATCTTTGTCAGTTGAATTTCCATACTTTTTTTAAAACATCAAAACGATTCCGCTCATCTTCCTCTCAGCTTCATATGAACATGTCCTTTCCTAAATTGCTTCTGGAAACTAGTGAATAGTTTTGATTTCAAGTTATAAATGACAGGTACAAATTTTACAAATACAGAAGAAATACACCCCATGATGAAGTATAGCAAATATATTTTAACAATCTAGTAACAGTAAATTATTATTAATAGTTTAAATAATTTAATGATAATTTTTTATAAAAATAAAAAATATTGGGTTTAAACTATATGACATACAAATATATTTTAACAATCTAGTAACAGTCAATTATTATTAATAATTTAAATAATTTAATGATAATTTTTTATAAAAATGAAAAATATTGGGTTTAAACTATATGACATACAAATAAATAAAATTAAAGAATGAAAAAGGGTTATTTTTTTATTATACAACTCAATATATATAGGAGTTAGTGTGTCTTACCTATAAAAAATTAGTATAAAAAATGATAAAAAATATCATAATTTATATTTTAAAAATAAGATATTCTAATCTTTTTTAATATGTATTTATTAAAATGATATAATTTTAAAATAATATTTTTTTAATTTTTAAAAAGTAAGACAAATAAGCACTATCCTTATATATATATAGTTATGGTTAGTTATTAAGACTAAATAATTATAAATTAATTCTCAATAATTATATTTATACCACCATTTTTTTTTTATTTTGATCCTGATGTAAATGACATACAGCGTTTTGAAAAGCAAATTTAATTTAGTAGAAAGAATTGGAGAACTAGCAGTTAAAATAAACTGGTAGCAGAAGAAAATTGTTTCTTCGCCGGTGGTAACCCTGTTGTAGAAGAGAATTTCCCCCTGTTTGTTGTAGCAGACAAAATCCTTTTTCTTGTAGAGAGAGAGAGAACAATAATACCTTGTTTTTCATGGGGACAAGGCAAACCATGAAACTTAGGTAGGTCGTAACTTAAAAAGGTAAGGATTAAACTTTGTGCTTGACAAATAGCAACTTCCTAGGAATCTGACTTCAAGTAATGAAGGTGAGGCCTTTATTTTCAGACGCCATGCCTAGCCTAAGGAATAGGACAAAGCTCTGAAGCCACCCCTATCAATTGTTCATTTTTTTCTCCGCCAACAACTTGCACTTGTAACAACCATCTTTGGTCAACTTCAATGGCTAAACCCATAGTTTGCTCTTTAGATGGAAAGCTACTTGAATTCTGATCTTCAAAGTCCCAATTGGCATCTGTTATTAAGACCTGAGAAACCGGCATTCAAAATTCAAATAGCTTAGGGGTTGTTGATGTAGACAATTTAAAACTAATGGTTAATTTATTATTAATAATTCAAGTAATTTTTATTCATTAAATTAAATAAAACCATTAACCGTTAACTACAAACGGTTTGTAGTTAACAATGAAATAGGTGAAGAAGAATTCAAGTGAGAAACCAGAAACCAAGTATTTTTCATTCCATAGCTCATCAACAAATGCACGGTAAAAAGAAGGAAACAATCTATACGTGAAATTTCCAGAAAATTTCAAACAAAATGTTAAGAACTTAACATATTACAAGAGTATGTTTGGCCTAGCTTTTGACAACAAAATTTTTACTTGCTATAGAATTACTATCTTTGGCAAGCAGAGACTACTGTCTCGTCATGTACAATGAATTTTACACAATGGGAAATAGAGCTGAAAAACATCAAAGAATCAGAGAGCCTAGACAACTTCTCCCTCCTTATAAAAAGAATGAATTTCATGACTCAAATTGAATGATACCTCAGAATAAATTACAGGTTGGGTAAAACAAAAAACATAACCCTTGACATGGTAGGTTTGGTGCTGTCACAGGTAGTCAATTGTTCAAGCAAGTTTGCTTCTGTTGTTTCTCTTCTCTTCGGAATGTTTACACATGCAATCTGGCATTGGAAAGGTGTAGAGTGACCCACTGGGTTTTTTCATTTCACCTCCCTTCACATCACTACGGCGAAGCACATCTTTCAATTGTAATTTGAAGGTTTCCCACCTATAAAACAGATAGCAATAATAAGATAGACTGATTATTAATTTTTATGACGTTACCACTTTTCCATCTCGAAAATATGTATTGGTCAAGAAAAAGAGAGAGCGCCTCACACAAACCAATCAATTTGATAGTAGAAACATAATTTTAGATGTGACATGGAATTGTTCACTTAAAAAAAAAAACAGGAAATCAAAACCAAGAATTGAGAATAATTTACTTGAAAAAAAAAGGGGGGAGATTTGAACAGTAATATACCTGATGTCAGGGCTATCAAAAAGCAATGCTAATTTCCTCTTATCAGGCTTAATTGTCTTTGCATGTCCTCCATATAAATAACGTCTGTGACCCATTAAGAAGTGGGGAAAGTTTCCACCTTGTGTTGTTACGAATACTTCACTGTGAAGGCAAACTGTATAGTCGAGAGCAGCCAACCTAGATGAGTGGCCCTGCAGTATAGTTTTTGAACTACTGTATCATAAAGATTGAATTGTTCCTATTTGAGATAATTATTCATGCAACATGCCGATTGGTTCATAGTAGAAAAAACTAAAATATAATTTAAACACAATAATAGGATACCTTAAATGGAGCAAGTTCTTCTGCAGTAGCCAGTGTATACTTTGTCTCCAAACGTGGAAACATCTGTCTGAGAGGAGCCATGTACTTTTCTTCCTTATAAATATTTCCAGCTGCAACATATACCGTGGTGCTATTATCAAAGCCCATGCCCCTAAGCATCATTCCCACCTATAGAAACAAGTAAAGATGATTAAATAGTTGAAATGAATACATTTCAGGTTTTAGTTGATTAAATAGTTGCTTGAAAATGGAAAGAGATAATAGTCTGCTATTACCTCCAAAGGAGTTAAAGGACATTTTCCATCCATGCGGTTTGCACCTGGCCTTATAACTCTACCTCTTCGTCTAAATTTTCCTCTCCAACCTTTTTCTCGGGCAATATCCATTTCATGCCTCTCTTCTTGCCCACCATCATATTCACAGCACGAGAAAGCAACCATATCCTTCCAAAAGAATGCACATATGTTTCAGAAATGGTATAATTCATTACAAAACAAAATTAAAAGAACTGCATATCCTTGAAAAGTAAAGGATCAAAAACACAAAATACCAATTCAAACCGAAGATGCACAGAAATATATTTGCCCCCACTAAGAGAGCTATTATTGACCATCCTATCAACCATCTTATCTGCAAGCATTCTAATAGGCTCTGAAAACCTCAGCGCTTCAAAATTGGCAAAGCATCTAAGCCCTTGGATGCTTGATGATACTGAATGAGCCAATCTATTAGAAAAAGGTGCAATTCGCACAGCTCTGCACAGTAATATTAAAAGAGATAAGCCTGCCATGTATGATGTGACGCAAACTTGGGCATGTGCGATTATCAAAGAACAAAAGGATGCATAAAAGAGTTTGCCATGACTACAATAGTGTACACATAAAAATCTTCAAATCACATTTACAAAATTACTAAATACAACAAGCATGTTTTTGGATTCTGACTTCCTCAAATACAAATTTTATGTAAGTGCCACCTTTCTTCTTGATCACCTTTTTACATCAGCAATCAGGTTTTAATAGTAGATAAATGTTCTTCATTATAATAAAATACCCAAATTAGTATCCTCTAAAACACAATTTTATGGCAGCGCCTTTCTCCCAAGGAAAACTACAATCATCATTTTCCTGTTATTTCTTTGTTCTGTAGCAGCTCTGCCGACTAAGAGAAAGAAATCATGCCTCAAAATAAATAAGAAGTAAAACACAAACCTCATTTCCTCTAATTTTGGAAGAACCTTCTGAAGATAATGGGAAGGACTTGACCACCCTTTTACTCTCAAATTGACAATGCTGCTAATGTTATTGTTAAAACCTTGAAGTACATCTTGTGGGAGTTCTTTGACTATATTCACCTTCAAATTATTTCTAAGCTTGTCCATGAAAAACTCTTCATCAAATATCTCTCCAAATTTGCTGCAATGAATTGAAAAGGATGATGCAAACTGTACAAGATACATAAAATTTTGGAAAACAAGATCAAAGTAAACAATATGTGACTGATCAAAGCAAACTTAAATGTAGTTAAATATTAAAGTTAAAAATTAATAAAGGATGAAAACCAAAGAATTCAAGTAGATACTTAAAAGATGATCACTATAAAGGATACTCCATAAAAAAAATTTAGATATTTAACCAAACATCTTTCTGCTTCTATGATTTTAAATATGAATTCAGAGCTATGTCTGCCAGCCAGAATATCGCACAGTAAAATATGAATACCTTATATATTTAATTATTTGTCAGCCAAAAACAATTATTTTATTTATTCTGGATGATAACACACCACTAGCACATTTTATTTTCTAAAAGTCTAAAACTTGCTTAATCACCTTTTCTGTAAATTTTTACTAAAATTAGAGTAACCTTCTAATGCACATCATGGCATTTGGGTGGAGATCCCATGATCGTAATTTGTCAACAAAAGAATCATAGTAATTTGTTGGCCGAAACAGTTATTTTATTTATTCTGGATAGTAATACATCACTGGAAAGTCTAAAACTTGCTTAATCACCTTATTCTGTAAATTTTTACTAAAACTAGAGTAACCTTCCAATGGACATCATGGCATTTGGGTGGAGATTGAATGTTTTGAAGGATCCCATGATAGTAATTTGTCAAGAAAAGAATCACTTCAAACTGAATCTTTTCAAGAATATGCACTAAATAATGACTATGGTGATAATGATAATAACCTGGAATCTCGCCAAACACTATTTAGATGAAAGATTGGAATGACAAGAGTAGCATTCAGTAGCCCTGCCACTGCCACTGCATCACATATCTGTATTTATGAAAAGAAAAAAGAAAAAAAAAAGGTTGAAGAGGCAATCATATAAAGTTCTGATATCTAACAACATAAAGGATGCTCTATACAACAGCTATTCAGTGTACTAAACTACTAATATGCATGCCAGAAGCAAAGTAAATATTTCTTCTGCCCCTAATAGATAGAACCATATACTAAACAGAATGGAGAAGAATCAAAGAGGGTTCAAGTTAGCACATGCACAGAAGATTAACCATTCTGCATACATTTTACATGCTCAATGCTTAGAAAATAGGCAATTAATCAATGAACATTTATTAGAACATACTGATAAACGTTGTTGGTTCAAGCCACCATTTGCTTCAATTATAAGAAAACCATTAGACTTTGGTAATTCTGAAGGACCTGAAAAACCGCATTGAAAGGAAAAGGCAGTTAGCTTCTCAGCAGGCTAACAGGTTCAAGAAAATCGCTTATCACTGACATTATCATCTTGCATAATACCCCAAAAACATATGATTGGATTTCCTATTATTTGATGGCTGTGCTAAGCTGCATTCATGGTCCATTTCCATTTCCCCATAAATGATATGTTATTACCTCTTAGAAAAAAACATTTTAAAAGAAAAAAATCAAAATGCAACAGAGATTTGCATCCAAAATATAAAAGCAAAATGCTAATCATTTCATAATTACATTTTAAACACCAGGTGGGGATACAGAATCAACGTACTTAGACAGAAACAATATTTTTCATAAAAAAGAACAAATAACAATAGCCATACCAAAAACTCCTTCGACAAACAACTCAAGAAATGGACAATCAATAATAGTTAAAATAACAAACAATTTTCAAACCTGTTTTGGAGATAATCTTATTGACACAAGGCCTCCAACTTTGATGCATCTTCAGATTCCATACTGACAACAGCTGCATAATACCCGTTTTAGTATCTTGACAGCCAGTCTTCATTCATCAAGCATACTGAAGCTATAGAGAAGTTCAGATGGAAAGAGAAAGAAGCATGCAAAACAAATTAAAGCTGTCCTACCCAACCCCCTCCCCCCAAAAGAAGTACAGGATAAAAGCTTAAAAAAGGAGAGGCCACTTCCTGAAGAATGTTTATTAAACTGAATAAGAAATTACACCTACCAACTTCATATCTCTAATTAACCATTTTATAGCATCTACAACTTTCTGCAAGAGTAGAAATCAATTTCTCCACCCATAAAAAATAGAATTCCCAAAACAACATTCTCTGCCAAATGGCTTTCACACAAAAACCATCCAGGCTTGTTCAAATGCTAAATGACTAAATCTGCAAATGCTAAAGACTAAATATTGCATCAAAAGTAGAAAAGAGAACCAAATAAAATATCAAAACTTATTCTTAGTGAAACAAAAATGTGTTGTCTTCCACACAACACCCATAATATCACTTCTAAAACCTAGCCAAAAGCTATAACAATATCCTAATGATGCACAAGCAAAGAAAATGGCTAGTGCTTCGAAAACCAATTTGTAGAATCTGCAACACAAACATAGCAATGAAAAATATGTAAAAGAATTAGAATTATTCCAACTTTTATTGCATAATTGATAGTTTCACAAGCTATATTTTATATCTCTAAGCTGTCTATACAAAACTCGTAGCACTTAATTGAAACCCCTTTGGCAGTCTGATCTTCAAAACATAACTTTGGAAACAGAAAATGAAGATGTCAGAGAAATTAGATCTCTAACTCAAACATCAAGAGCACGGTACTCGTTTCGCCTTAATTAAGTAACACAAAGATAATAATTCCAATTTCACAAGTGCGCAAATAGAAGAAAAGCTTATCCAGAAAATAGTTTACACCCTCCTCAATCAATTTCACATTTTATCAATCTCAAAATCAGGAGCTGCTAGCTACTCAACTACCAAGTAAGAACCACCTTGGATGCTTAGTAGTTTCAAAAACCCCGACACAGAAAAGAAATATTAACCGCACATAACCAGGAATTATCACAATCATTGCACATACAAAGTTAAAAGGCAAGAAGAAACAATACCGTATTGGAGCTCCCATTGTTCTCAGCTTCCATAAAAGGCCAGAGCTTCACGAACACCTGAGGGCTCCGGTACAAGGAGCCTGGAGGCGCACGCCTGTGTACAACAACAATTGCTTTCTTCAAATTCACAACATCAAACCCCAACGATCCCATGCACAACAACATTATCGAAATGTACAACAACGGCGCAAACAGCAGCACGCCTTTTCGCCTAAACACAGCAGAAATCAAGAACAAAACCATCTTGTCCACCGCAGAACTCTGCTTTCCGCCACCGACACGGCCGCCGAAGCTCTTGTTGCTGCCGTATCGCAACCGAGGGGAGGAAGGCGGCGACGGCGACATAGAGCGGGTCCCGCCTGTCCCGAGGCGGCTAAGCCCGTGCATTATTGACGACAACTAATAAAGCTATCTGAAAACCCTAGAAAATATCAAGATCTGGTAGGAGCTTCGCGGAGTCCTCAATTCAGCAGAAGCATTACGCATCTTGAAACGAAGAAGAAGAAGAAGAAGAAGAAGAAAAGGATTCCCCGCCTAAACCTTCATTATGAAACTCAGTCAAGTGCAAAATCCAACTCTATAACACAAATCCGATAGAACTTCAAAGATTATATTTTCTCTCTTTTTTTTCTGGAGAAACAAACAGAACAGAAGACGGTAATCCAATCGGTTGACGGCGAGATGGTTTAAAAATGAAAAGAGAGGAAGAAACGACGAGAGAAAGTGGAGAGGGGTAGGTGAAGATGGAAGCAAGAGGAATTGAAGGGTAGGGGGAGGAGCACGTGGAGAGCGGAATGCGAGCTGAAGGTACGGCGGCGCCGGCAATGACGGAGGGGGCGGTGGAGATGGTGGGGAG